GAAATTTCGGGGTGTATTATATGGGACAAAGGGTGTAGAGATACACTATTGACACCCTTTCTTCTTGACAGTGTGGATGGAAATGATTGCATAAAACACACAAATACAGAAGAGCAATTCACTATATAGTAACTGCATATAATCATACACGACATACAATAATCAGTCAATCAATCAATCAATGTTTATTATAGTGCTCAGGAACAACCTTGCGGTCTTGGTAACAATAATAATAATACTTCATTAAATAAACAAAGTACAAAGACAATGCTGGCCTACAAAAGCAACGTCCTGCTTGTGCGTAAAGCCAGGCAATTTGCAAAAATGGATGTACAAATGAGCTCGATGCATACGAGTAAATAAAACGAATGCATGCTCGCGATGCCAACAAATAGAACGAATGTATGCTCGATATAAGAAAAGAAAAAAGAAAAACGATAATGAACACACAAAAAAAGTCCACGTCGAAAAAAAAAAAAAATAATGATAGAGGAAAATGTGGATCAAGCAGACACTCAGGCACAGAGCACACTAGGCGAAAAACAATCAGTCAAGAGCAAAAACCAAAAACCATAAAATTCGCAATAATTTCCTCTCACAATTCTAATGTTTCTTAAGATGTCTTATATGCAGTGTTAGTTATCATATGTTTTAAAATTCTGTCTATTGATTTTGTTTTGTATCGCCCATATCGTAGAATAGATTCCGCTAAAGATCTGAACACTAGTATACTCCGTTTCACCTTATGTTGTACCGCAGAGAAGGCTAGAAGCGCGAGCTCATAGCGTTGGCAGCTACTCTTAAAGCACGAGAGCTTGTGCCGCGGAGATGTGCCCTAGAGCAAGGAGCTCGCGCTTGTAGCCTTTCGTGCGGTACATCATAAGGTGAAACAGAGTATAGTCTCATCCAGAGCCGTATATGTAGAGAGTTTGGTCAATGGGAGGCGCGGGCAGAGCCAGGGCGTGCATCAGACTTGGAAAGAGGGCTTGAAATGCTCTCTTGACCAACCAGAAGCCGAGAAGAATCCCCTAGCGGTGGTAGCGAGAAACAGTTCTGATCAAAGGTCTATGTTCGTATATGGTTTTAATAAGCGCGTAAGAGTGAAGTGTAGTAACTCTTTGTGGTTGGAAATAGGGTGCACGTGCTGTTTTGATCATGATCATGCAGAGAGATGTAAGAAACGAATGCGCCGCTCAACTCTGTTTTGCTCGGACAGTGTGTGACTGCTCAGACAGCAGATTCCTCGCCCTCGGCGCTTGGCGTACGGATTATGTCGATCGTTCCGCTAGTCGCACTCCTCCACCATCATTTTGGATGAGCGTGATTGAAACGTCACGTGTATCATATTTTCAGTCATTGAGAGTTACTCTAATGCAGTTATCAGGTTTGTCTCTCGCGACCACCGCCAGGGTATTATTTCCGGCTTCTGGTTGGTCACATTCGAATTTCTGAAGGCGCCCTGGAACACGCCCAGCCCGCTTTCAGCCAATGGCGCCTCCTCATTTGTCTCCTATACTTCCCAACGATTGGCCAAACTCCCTACATATACGGCTCTGGTCTCATCTTCATACTACATATACTTTTCATCTTAGATAAATAAGCTGCAACGGCGCGCAGTCTTTTACATATTCAACATGTTGATCCCACGACAAGTGTTCGTCAACATATAAATCTAAATATTTGACAGGTTTATCATAAGGCAAAGGTTTACAATGAGAATTCTTGCACTGAGGAGATTGAAGTAAAATTAAGGTGTCAATAAAATTCGTTTGTGAGCATTTCGAAAGCACATAATCTCAGTTTTAACAACATTCAGTGAAATAACATTTGAACTAGACCATCCGTGTTAGTGTATTTATATTAGGGCTGGCAATCGGTCGATTAACCTACCGATTAATCGATTAATGCTTTTATCGCGTTTATCTTTTTTAAACTGGTTAATCAGTGAAATTTTGACTAACCAAAAGCAAGTAAAAACTACTCGCTTTCACCAAGCTGAACGAGTACACCTCGTGCAGCTTGGTGAAGCTGGACGAGGTGTCCAGCTAGTATGAAGGGCAAACTTTAGATCAAAATTTAGCCTAGAAGTAAACTGTGGGGCGAGATTTGTAACTCGTGACAAGTGCAGCAGGTCACACCTGGCTCGGCCACTCTAACACCGTTCGAGTGTCCGTTCAGTGCAGCAGAGACTATTGGGAACAATCAAAGGAAGTCGCTCTTGCCAGAGAACATCAACGAAATTAGTAATAAAATCCTGCGAGTACCGTTGAACATGTTCTGATTTACACATCGAGGTTGATTCATAATTAAAATTGTACATGGCGCACTGGACGATATTATTAAGCAAAAAAAAAAAATGTTTATGTTTGACTATTTAAAAAAAAATATTATGCATGGAAATGACCGAGTTTAATTAGTCGATTAATTAGTCAATTAAAGGGTGGCGATTAATTGGGTTAAAACTTTTCATCCACGCCCAGCCATAATTTATATCTCTCTGAAAGACAGAAATTGCATCGTCATGGTTATCGTACGGTAAAGCTAACATTGTATCATCAGTGCGCTGATTTTTCTTAGGCTGCAACGCATTCCACTTTAGCTGTGCCGCTTTCATTATTTTAACTACTTGCAGCCTATCCTTAAAACAGGTCCTGAAAAAAACAAAACAAAAAAAATATATAAAATGGGCTTTTGACATTTTATCTGTCAAGCTTATCTAGCATTAGAGAATGATCGATAGTATTGAAAGCCTTCGATATATCTATAGACAGTGCTAGCGCAATTCTAATAGTGTAATAGTATTGTTTTTGTTCTCGGAAACCACATCGGTTATTACGTAACAAAGAAAATGTATCGCAGAAGCTAGTCGTCGTAATTTGTACCCATTTCTCAGGTGTATGCGTTAAGACACGTAGAATAGCCAATTGGTATGTAGCTTCCAAGCTCCTGATGTTTTCCATTTTTCTATGCAGGACGTATAACCGGGACCTCAAGGCTCCTTGTAATAGTTCTAGTATAGAGGATGTCATTAATAATTTTTTGTAAGATATCGGCTTCAATCTATGAGAATTATACATAATATTTCTGATTCTAACGTTGTCACACCCTGGTCGCTTAGTTATTGACATAGAATTAACAATGCACAAAAGGTCGTACTTTGTTATATAAGGCAAATACACCGAATGAAAGCCCTTTTTGACTTGTGGATTGACAGGAATGTGACTAACCGGTGGAATTCTATTTTTTTATCTTCGTTCCCGTGGCATTGAAGAGTGCACTCTCAATCGTCCGAGAGAACTTGCACACGAATTCCATCGGCGAAGCCGAAGGGTTGCGTATTTTTGTTTATTAATTCGGATCGAACAAATTGAGAGATAGGCCTCCACGTTATCGACGTCCACCACTCCTTTGCACTTAACGAATATTGTCCATTCATTGAAAAATACACAAGCGCCCCCCCAAAAAAAACAAAAAAAAAAAGCATTACGCGAAACACCGTCCACAACTTTAAGGGATGTCGACATTAGAATGCAATAAGGTATTTTGATATTAACAGATCTCAATGGAGTTTTGATTGGCACTCGCGCTTCAAGGGTGGCAAAACATCTCCGGAAGACGAAGAGAGGTCGGGGAGTGTCCCCCACCCTCCTTCGTCTTCCTTTTTCCACCTCATCATCTAAACCTTCGATAACAACTTTGACTTTTGACGCCAATCTTGGAGACAAGAATCCCTTGAACCAAACAGTTGCCTCTTGTCTTGTACCTTATGTCTTTTCATTCTATGGAGTTATGCGGGATTTGCTGGGGAAATTAGCGTATCGTTACAATCTTTTGATCGATGATAAGCCGGAGGTTCCACTTTAAAGGCCAGTCTGTGTGTTTACTTTCCCAATGGACAGGCCGGCAGTCTGCGAACAACCGAGGGACCGTGGTGAATAAGGAACCTCAGATTACGATTAGACACTTTCATCGTATCATTACATCACGTAAATTAACTTTAAAAGACCCGCCTAACTACCTTCTCGGTGTCTAAAACCGCGGCCACACTGACATCGTACACAGGACCGTGTGCAGAGATTGTCTGAAGCATTACTGCCTGGAGACATAGACGAGGCTCAGATCCTTCATACATGCCTGCATTCTTATGTGGGCCGATCTATGTCGGTATTCGTATTACCCAACAGATACGTCGCAGAAAGGTCGACTACCCCAACGAGAACAGGGAACCTTCGTCGGTATAGAAACAAGATCGCGGAGGCAGTCGTGCACGCGCTGCAGTGCAACCACCTACGCGGCAGTTCTCCAAATCAGCCCCGCACTGAATCGAGAGCCAAGTGTTTCTCGCACGCTCTTTTCCGCCGAACAAACTGTCGCGCGATACTTGTCGCTGTCGAAGCAAACAGGGCCGATCGGGTTGCTGTGCAGTGGCGAGACAGCCTTCGCTCCTTAAATAAGAAACGAGTTCGGGTCCGAAATGGAGGCAGAAAAGTGTCTCCGCGTCGGTTCTAGATTCGGGCATTTCGTAGGAGTCATATCGTTCGAGGCCATCGATTGACTGTGGCCCGCTTTTGCTCCAACCTCGCTTCGCTACGTGGTGTTTTTTTCTTTTTTTCGCCTACGTGAGGGGTTAGTCGGCCTTTGATCTTGACCCGATCCTGCATACTCCCCGGACAAACCCTCCGGAGAAAAGAGTGTCGTGCACGCGAGTTGGTCTTGCTCGCTCGCGGAGGCGAGCGTTATCGCCGCTTTTGTCTCTAATTCGTGGTTTATTGTTATTGCCCGCCTTTTGTCAGCATCGCGAGCTTCGGAGAAGAAGAATCAACGACGTCTGGTTGTGTTCGGGAGAAAGAGACGCGACCAAAAAATACGTGCAAATCGAATCGAAGCGCTGGCCGATAAGGTGACACAGTTTTGCGGCTTTTTCTCGTTTGTGGTCTGGCAACACTGGGTGACCGCTCGGTTTTGGCTCGCCCGCAGCAGACGACAGCGGAGGCGCTCCCAGACTGCGCTTAGCCGTGCTCCCGTTCACATCTCGGGGGAAAAAAAAAAATATTGAAAAAAGAAAAGTAAAAAATAATGAAAAAAACATACATGCGTATATACCGCATCAGATGTATCTTTTTGTTGGGGGCTCGCGTACACCAGACACGCGCATACTTCCTCTTGTAAAACTCGGCGTCGCGGTGATTAGTTTCGGTTTGGTTAAATGCAGACGCTGGTTTCGTCTGCGAGTGCAGTTGGTCGTCTGCGACGTGCGTCGTGCGGTGTTGTGAAGGCTGCGATGCAACAACGTCCCTGCTGGAGTTGACGTCTTCGGGTGAACTTTTTTTTCCCCCCTCCTGTTCGACTTCGAGACGTCGCACATGCTCCAAGTTGGATTTTCCGAGGCTCTCGTGACGAAGGTGGGTCTTTTTCACTCAATCTTTAACCTCGCGAGCGTGTTTTTATGCTGATCCCTTTACTTATCCTAGCGCCGCCTATGGTTACGGCCCAAGATTAACGTAGCTTATTATGTAAATAAAAGTTTGTACATAGTTTCTGTCGTGTACACCGGGAGTACATTTGCTCGCCGACGGAAAGTCGGGGAGTCAGCCTAAATGTGGACTAACCGCATAAACATTTGAGAAGCTGTTAGGGGTCACGAGCCATTCCGCATGCTGTCGTAACCTAAGCTGGTTTAATTTCCTAATCGGCGTACGTAAAATCTTATCGGCTTTGTCTACTTTATTTTGCATCGTTCTGCGCGTCTTCGCTGTCCGAGCGCTACGGCGGACGTTGAAAATACCCCATTGGTTGATGTGCTCATTGCGGCCTTAAATCGGAATAAATTACAACTTTGTCCGGCAGGTTCCTGCCGAAGGCATCTGTTAGTTCGTGTCGACAGCAAGCGGACGTACCACCGCGTATCACGGTACGCTTAGGTTAAATCTTAGCGGTGTTTTTTTGTTTTGTTTTCGTTTTTTTCCTAGGCTACGTGATGTTTTTGCGCAAAACAGGCACGCTTAATTTGCTTCGTCTCTATTATTTTGTAAAAAGAATCGGATATTTCTCCTTTTTTCGGTAATATAAGAAAACGCTCTCAGGCATGCACTTCTGAACACGGTCAAACGAAGTATTAAACGCGATGCATATAAACATAAAAATTGCACCCGAGCTTTTTTAATTTTTTTTCCATAACGTTATAATGTTTGGAAGTATATATATTTTTAAATACTTTACGTGTGATGTGTCAGAGCTACCTATCACATCCGGTATGTAAAACAGAAAAATAAAAGGTTCGAACGGGCATCTGTGCATGGGCGCGGCCATTATACGTGCCTTTCGACTCTTATTTATCGTAACCCAACCACTCTTTTCGCCACTTTCAAAGGCTTTGGTACATCGCAAAAGGGCTGACGTCATCACATCACGCTGGCGGTCATTCGTTCTGACCGAGAAAAATAAAAATAAAACGGTTTGCAATGTAGGCTTGAACTAGTTGTGTCGCGAACCGGCCGAGGTTCGAGTTCGACCTGGTTCGACTTTTTCGAACTTTTCGTGGAAATTTCGACGAACCTTGTATTGAGGTTCGACTCGTGTGCGCATGCGCGACAGGCTGGCCAGTTGACTTCGGATTGGATGGTAATGGCTAATGGATGAATTAAGGGCACCGCTGGTTGGTTATTTCAGTTAATACAGTACAAACAAAATTAAGTTATTAATGTCTTTAGTGATTAGAAGTGGTTTCTTTTAATTCCAACTGTTCATAAAATAAAATAACCATTTGCATAAAAATAAATTCTCCAAACCTAGACATGCGTCTATCAAGGTCTGGCCACACTGTCCGCAAAGTCGAACCGGTCGAATCTGGTAAAAAGTTTCGAAGGTTCGTCGAACCGGTTTGACTTAGTCGAACCCCGAAAGTTCGACCTAAATATCCGGTTCGACAAAAGTTCGCGACACCCCTAGCTTGAACAGCTAGGCACTGGGCACAGAGGTTAGCACAATGGATGTGACATCAGTCGATGAGAAAATGGCGTGTCTGGGTGAAACAGTAGGGTCCGAGTACGGAGCATCTCGTATCGGCTCCAGCGACGCCTCTATCAAAGCATATTCCATGGGTCGTGAGAGAAGACCCACCCGGATTAAAAAAAAAAAAAAAATAGACGGGAGGGGGGACCAAAAGCATTACGCCATAACCCAAACCGGTGGGTATATATAATGGCTTTTCCTCGAGCGTGTGTACGCCTGTGTTGTCTTCGCGTCGAATCCTGGCGGAAGGTACGGAACCTCTCGGGAGAAGTGAGCTGCGCCGTTGAACGCCGCGGAGACGATCGCGTTCGAATTTCCCAGATAATTGTCCTCGACCGAGAAACACGAGGTCCATATGGGTCACCTCCTTCGGGAAAATGCAAGGGCGCTTTCAGACCCTGCCACAAAAGATGGTATTCTCGGATATTCCTCGCACGGAGGGCGACTCGGCTCAGGGGTAGCTCAACACTCGGGCCGGGAATCGTGGAGTTTGAACCCGGTTCTCGAAGTCTCGATTTTCCTTTTTTTATTTTATTTTGCCTCGTTTCTATCTTGGCGTGGCCGGGGCTGGAAGCACATCCAGAATGGATCCCCAGGTTCTTCCTTCATGTTCTTTTCTTTTTTTTTTTTCTTTGGGGGGCACTTTGATTCAGCGTAGAGATAGTCGAACCCGAATGAGGGTCTAGAGAACAGCGAGGAAAGATGATGGCGCTAAAGACTCCTCGTGTTTGAACGGGAGCTTCGATGTTATCGTGGCGGCGTGGAGTCCCGCCTACCTGTATCGAAGTAAGCGTATTTTTGAGCTAAGGTTGGCTCCGACGAGGTGATAATAGCACGGACCAAGTTCCGAACATTGCGCACCAACATAATGTGCCCCACGTTGTATTTGCAGTCTCTTTTATTTTCGATAAATGTACTTTGTGTGACTTCCCGAAGCTCTAAGCACGAACTTTCTGTCCTTCCGCTGCACAAAGGCGCGGGCTTGGGCCGGAAGCGTATCAGGTGCTTTCAGAGGTATTAGTGCATCGCGGGGGGTGTTTCCAGAGTTATCATCTTCCAGAAAGGCTTTCGTTTGCGCCACATTTGTTTTTAGACTACAGCTGTCCAGGACCTCTCTATGCTATGCTTACTCGGATCTTCGAATCTTCTGAATAATTGGAGAATAATGTCTCCTGTTCGATTCAATTCGCGGCACGCTTCTAACGTTTGAGGTGTCTCGAGATGTCTCGAGAGGTGTCTCGAGAGGTGTCCCGAGAGCGCCGATTTTCACCGGTGCTCTCGGCTTCCCATGCGCTCGCAGAAACCGGCGGCGTTTCTTTCATGATAAATATTCGAGGTTATTTGGTTATCGACCCCCATTCTAACAGACAGTGTTGAAAACAAAAAATAACCAATATTAAAATAAAGTCATCGCTTTGCGTGTCATTGGGTCTTTTCCCACTCGTCTTATTAAGAAGCCTTTTATTGAAATGCGCAGGCGAGCTGGTGGTAGCTAATCATGTCGTTTAACATGTGAGCATATGTGGTTCAGGAAAATATATATATATATATTTTAGTCGAGGAACAGATACAAGAGAAAACGTCCCTTCTGTGTCTGTTCCTTCGAGTGAAAGTTTTTTTTTTTTTTCTTTCTTTCTTTTCTGTACTCGGGAGGTGGTAGAGTGGAGTGATAGTGAATAGTTTGTGCAGCAGTGCGTTGCTCCGCGAAATGCTTTCTTTGCACGAGGGCCCGCGGCGAGGAATGAACCTTCTGAAAGCGTGAGCGCTCGCGTCTGTGCCCCCAAAAACGTCGCGAAGAACTCTTTTTTTTTTTTTTTTGACGCTCGGAGGTTGTTTTGGACGGTGCGGGAGTTTAACAAAAATAGCTGCTTGTTTATTGGGATTACCCCTGAGGAATAAAATGTTTGTTTTTGGCTCCGAGAAAGCACGAAGTCGCGCGGTTTCTCGTTTTATTTGAGAGAGAGAGAGAGGGAGAGACGGGGCGTTCAAACGAAAGCTTATTTGAGCCTCTGATCCATCCGAGTTGAAACTCTGTTCAAGCTTCGCTTTCTGAGGAAGACACGAATCCAGAAGGTTATTTAGACAGGACTAGCATTATCACGGGACAGTTTAGGGACGCTAATTTCCCACCCGAATTCAAATAATATAAAAAAAATGTGAAACGGTCGACTCCGGAGCAACATAAAGATTCCAGCGCGGCTTCGTTAATTAAAAAATAGAAAAAAAGCAGGGCAGAAGGAAAAGCGCAGAAAGAGCAGCCGTATTACATATTATTTCGGTACATGAGACTGTTGATCTTTCAATCAATCAATCAATCAATCAATCCTTTATTTTCTTTCACAAGAAAGATGGCTGCTGGGACAAAAAGCTGCAACAAGTGCAGCCTGACGAGGCCCCAGCTCCAAAATGGTAGCTAGCATTCGACAACAGTCAAACATGCACTAATGCACAACAATACAAACAAAATAAATATATACACAGAGGCGTACTTTTAACTCAAAATAAAAAAAAAATTAACAAAATAAAATAAGTCATTATTGCTATACTTAGTGCACCAGTTAACAATGCACACTTGAAATGCAATAGCAAACAACTAACATTCACAGGGTAGATAGAATATGCACGAATACTTCAAATGGCAAATTGTGAGAAAAATGTCCGCTATGATGAAACATGTTTAGTAAGGATGGTAGAGTGTGCCTGATGGATCCTAGCTCATACTTCGTTGTATTCCTAAGTTAGACATTTGGAGAATATAGCTATGTTCACTATTTATTGCAACGTTGTACGAAGCTAGGAGGCGGAAGTTGTACATGCTTGTTGTTCTAACAATCTTAAATCGTGTGAAAAGCGGATCTGTGCGAAAAAAATGCGATGCATTCGCGACGACTCTTAAGGCTTTTTTCTGTAGGGTTAGAAGTGTGTTCGCATTCTGTAAGGTAGTGGTGCCCCATACCAGATGGCAATACATAAAATATGACTGAACAAGACCGTAGTAGATGATCTGCTGAACAAATGGGGCGAAAATAGAGCGATATCTCGATAGCAATCCTACGGCCTTTCTGGCTTTTTAATGAATATAGCTTACATGGTTATTCCATGATAAAGTATAGGAAAAGAGTACGCCCAATATTTTAAACGTTTTCACAATTTCAATGTCTTCGTCAGCTGTATTTGTATTTAAATTAGAAGGGACTGTTACGTTTTTTGAATGGAATAGTATGCATTTAGTCTTGCTCGTGTTAATTTGTAATGTATTTACTTCAGCCCAAAGGCTAAGATTGGAGAGCATACGATTTGCTGACAGTTCCATCTCGTTACATGTATAACCATTCAAGAGAAGTGTAGTATCATCAGCATAGGCTATAACTTTGCAATCAGGAACACAACG